AGCAGCAAAGAACAGGAACACTTCTAGGCCTTATTATGCTGTTCTGTTCGTTCGTCCATATTTGATTACAAATTCTCTGTTAATTATATTCTTTTCCGCCGATTATATACCGCGGTATTCACACAGAATTCCGGTTCACGTCAGCGCGTCGCGTCGCGTCGCGTTCCTCCAACGGATCGAAAGCGTTGCTTGCAGAGGAGCAGGTATGGAGGCGCATGTGAGGCGCGTGCATGGTGCGTACGTACCGTTCTCCACTTTGGAGGCGCGTAGGACGCGCCTCGTGATACTCGATTCGTTCGTTCCACTTGTAATAAACAACACTTGATCGCGTCGCACCAGAGCGATTACTTATCGAAACTCGTGCCGTCTAGCACCACTGAGCACCACACGCCGCGTTCGATCGCATCGCACAAAGCCAGATTAAACGGAGCGATATGTAGTCGCCACAGTCGCGGTGACGTTACCGGGCGAAATTGGCATTGTTAAACTGACCGGCACAATCCGGCATACCGTTGCCGCGTATCGAATTTCATTCGCGCATTCAATTTCAACGGAAAAAACTGTAACTTAACACTTGATCATGCGAGAATGAATCTTGTCTGCTGAGTTGTCGAGAGTTTCTAAACTGCTGATGTAGCACACTGCGACGTGAATTCATCGGATTGTATGACAAATGAACGTGAGAAAATCGACGTTATTATTCGACTGAACAAACATTAAAAAATTATTTATAATTGATAAATTTTCACTAAAACTGTCTTATTTTATTTGGAATTAATTAGATATTTTTTTTAATTTCAGTGATCTTTCAGTTAATTATTATATTTATAATTACTATATATACTATTATTCTTACCTTTTGCTAATAAAAGTTTGAGATATCTTGAAACAATTTAGCGAAGCTAAATTAGTTTATTGAAGTTAAATAATTATAAGACGTTCTAGATGGTATTTCATTATTAATACTATTCTAGTAGATGAGTGTACACAAACTTACACATATGTTGAAAGACTATATTTCTATGTTTTTCTGTATAATTCTTATATGAATATTCATATATACATCAAATGATTGTGCAACGGGGACTAAAAAAATCTGTGCTAAAAAAGTTTTCATATTACTCATTTATCTTTAT